CTGGCTTGTTTTTCCACACCAAAAGAACAAACATTACCAAACTGATCTGGAAAGACTTTAGAAGAAGTCAAGAGATTAAAACAGAAGAAACTCTAACCAAAGGGGCAGCTGCCACCTGAAACATCATGCACCCTAGCTGCCGCAGACAAAATCCCAGAACTGCAGAAATTTCGTAGCTGCAGACACCACTGCTGCAGGTCCCACAGGACTAACCCATTTGCATGCTTTTGAACAGAGCAGAAATAGAAGCAAAGTAGCACTCACATGTAGAGGCATGCATTTTTTATACTGAGCAAAAAGATTAAGGATAATTAGAAAAGAGAAGTGGCTTAACATGCTGCCTCCCTAGTAGAGTGCAATTAGTGTCTCCTTTAGTTTTCTAAGGGCATCAGCCTCCAGTTAGTTGCTGTTGTAAACTTGATTGCTGCTCTGTACATCTGCAAGCCACTTAGCAAACTGTAGTGCCCTGATCTTATTTCCACCGGCTTCGCACCTGACTGTTAATCGTACCATGAAATAAGCTCCATCTGTATGGCAGGGAGTGCAAATTGACACAAAAATGCAACATTTCAAAACTCTCTCATTTTGCCTCCAAAACCTACCAAGCAAAGCACTTTTTAAAGCATGCTGAATTCTGAACACTGAACACATTCGCTCCCCAATTATTCCTGAGTGACACACTGTTGTCGTTTAAACCCAGTCAGGTAATTCGTTCGCTCACTTCCCCCCCTTTCTTGCCCTCCCCCTGCTCTCGGAGGGACGGAGAGGAGAATCAAAAGAATGCAACTCCCACGGGTTGAGATAAGAACAGTTTAGTAACTAAGGTATAACACAAATCACTACTGCTACCACCAATGATAATAATGATAAAGGAAATAACAAGGGAAGAGAATACAACACCTCAGCACCCGCTGACCGATAACTCGCCCCCCAAGCCCGACCAAGCACCGACCGATACCTCCTCCAACCCTGCAGTCTCCCAGCCCTTCCGGCTAACTCCCAGTTACATCCTGGGCATGACGTGCTGTGGTATGGAATACCTCTTTGGTCAGTTTGGGTCAGGTGTCCTGTCTCTGCTTCCTCCTGGCTTCCCCTCCCCCCTGGCAGAGCATGAGGCTCACAAAGTCCTTGGCCAAACCAAAACATCCTTGTTATCAGCTCTGTTCCCGAGCTGAAAGTCAAAACACAGCACTGCACCAGCTACCAAGAAGGAGAAAAATGACTGCTACTGCTGAACCCAGGACATTATCCACCCCTTATTCCATACCATACACATCATGCTCAGATCCCACATTTTCAATATATCATCACTCTTATCTCAGTGCACTCTTATCTTAGTGCATGGACCAGTCCCTATAAAGCTGCTGAGTCCATCTGGTCCATGATGTCAGGCTCCACCTCTTGTAACAGCCTTCCAGAGCAGGAGAGACTGTGTGCAGTGTTCACACTTGTGAATAACCTGGGCAACAGTGTCCATTGCTAAGTCCACCCCTCGATCATGAGTCCATCTGTATGTTGCATCTCTGCTCTGATGGCCTGAAGTGCCATGGGCCCACCAGGCTTAAAATAATTCACTGTCCCCTTCAGCAGTTTCTGCAGCTTGTTGCTGGGGACTCCATACAGCTGCCTTCCATCTCTGACGCTTCCAAAGCACTGGAGGGGCCCAGTGGACTAGATACTTGCCCATACTGTCCCACACACCCTGCCACTCATGACTCTCCAGCCTTGGGGAAAACCTCTTGGTCCCCCTGCATCGTCGTCTAACCCCAGGCAAGACCCAAACCTGACTCTGCTTAACTTTTGAGATCAGACAAAATGGTTGTGGGTAGAACACAGTCTGTGTGTGTGCCAACATGCTGATCCCCGTCACAATCAGCAGGCAGGTCCCAAGGATACCCAAAGGCCATTCAAAACCTTCAGAACTCTCAAACGATGCTGCAGTTCTTGTCACTGGGGCTGGTGTAGCTGCTGTGCTTGCCGGCTCTCCCACCGCCAGCTTCTCTTTTCCTGAGTCCAGCTCTTCCTCCTCTGCCTTGCTGGGAAATGCTGCGTGGTCTCCTGCATCTTCCTGGGGCTCGGCGGGCAGCTTCCGGGGGATGCTCTCGGCCGTCGCGGGGCTCGGCTCGGCCGTGGGGCTCGGCTCCTCCGCCGCCTTCTCCCGCTGCTCAGCAGCCGCCTCCTTCCTCTCCTCGACCGCCCCGACCTCCTCCACCGGCAGCCGTCCCCTCGCGGCCTCCGGCCCCGCTCCCGCCGCCGCTTGGTGCCCGGGGCCGCTCTCCCGGGCCGCTTCGGCTGCCGCCGGCTCTCGGGGCCGCTCCCCCTCAGTTCCCCGCAGCCTCACGAAGACGGAGAGTAGGGCGAGGGCCAGGACGGTGAAGAGCAGCCGGACGGCCAGGTACAAGTCCACGGCCACGTCCGTCCCGCCCTGCTGCTGGAGCCCACCCGTATTACAAGCCATTGCCATAAAGCACAGTGAGACAAGAACCTTAGCCCAAGCCCCACACTTGATAAACACTAACACAGCAAATACCGGCTCTACGTAAGTTACAACATTCTGAAGCTGTGAGATCAAGAGAAACAACTCTGAGAGCCAATAAATCATCATTGTGATGAGTGACTATTAATCTGGTCAGATCTGTCGTTATCTCAACCCTTCGAGCCCCACGTTGGGCGCCAAAAAGAACTGTTGTGGTTTAAACCCAGTCAGGTAATTCGTTCGCTCACTTCCCCCCCTTTCTTGCCCTCCCCCTGCTCTCGGAGGGACGGAGAGGAGAATCAAAAGAATGCAACTCCCACGGGTTGAGATAAGAACAGTTTAGTAACTAAGGTATAACACAAATCACTACTGCTACCACCAATGATAATAATGATAAAGGAAATAACAAGGGAAGAGAATACAACACCTCAGCACCCGCTGACCGATAACTCGCCCCCCAAGCCCGACCAAGCACCGACCGATACCTCCTCCAACCCTGCAGTCTCCCAGCCCTTCCGTCTAACTCCCAGTTACATCCTGGGCATGACGTGCTGTGGTATGGAATACCTCTTTGGTCAGTTTGGGTCAGGTGTCCTGTCTCTGCTTCCTCCTGGCTTCCCCTCCCCCCTGGCAGAGCATGAGGCTCACAAAGTCCTTGGCCAAACCAAAACATCCTTGTTATCAGCTCTGTTCCCGAGCTGAAAGTCAAAACACAGCACTGCACCAGCTACCAAGAAGGAGAAAAATGACTGCTACTGCTGAACCCAGGACACACACCACTTAGGCACACACAAGGCTACAGGCCCAGATGGGATCCACCCAAGGGTACTGAGGGAGCTGGTGGAATTGCTCACTGAGCCACTTTCCACCATTTATCAGCAGTCCTGGTTATCAGGAAAGTCCCAGTAACTGGAGGTTAGCAAATGTGACATCCATCTACAAGAAGGGCCAGAAGGAGGATCGGGGGAGTTGCAGGCCTGTCAGTCTGACCTTGGTGCTAAGGAAGGTTATGGAGCACATCATCTTGAGTACAACACACAGCATGTATAGGGCAACCGGGTGATCAGCCCAGTTAGCATGGGTTTATGAAACGCAGGTCTTGCTTGACCAACCTGATCTGCTTCTATGACAGGGTGGATGATGGAAAGGCTGTGGATGTTGTCTATCTAGACCTTAGAAAAGCCTCTGACACCATTTCCTGCAGCATTCTCATGGAGAAACTGGCTGCTCATGGCTTGGATGGGTGTGCTTGTGTTGGGTAAAAGACAGCAAATAGCTGGATGCTGGGGCCCAGAGAGTGGTGGTGAATGGAGTTAAATCCATTTGGCAGATGGGCACAAGTGGTGTTCCCCAGGACCCAGTATTGGGCCAGTTCTGTTTAGTGTCTTTATCAGTGATCTGGACAAGGGGATTGGGTGCACCCTGAGCCAGTTTGCAGGCAACACCAAGCTGTGTGGGGGCATTGATCTGCTGGAGGGTAGGAAGGCTCTGCAGAGGGATCTGGACAGGCTGGATCAATGGGCTGAGGCCAGTTGTGTGAGTTTCAACAAGGCAAAGTGCCAAGTCCTGCATCTGGGTCACAACAATCCCATTGAACGCTAAAGGTTTGGGAAAGAGTGGCTGGAAAGCTGCTTGGTGGAAAAGAACCTGGGGGTGCTGATTGACGGAGCTGAACATGAGCAGCTTGTGCTCAGGTAGCCAAGAAGGCCAATGGCATCCTGGCCTGCATCAGCAATAGTGTGGCCAGGAGGGCCAAGGCAGTGATCATCCCCCTGTACTCAGCACTGGTGAGGCTGCACCTTGAATCCTGTGTGCAGTTCTGGGCCCCTCACTACAAGAAAGATGTTGAGATGGTGGAGTCTGTCCAAAGAAGAGCAACACAGCTGGTGAAGGGTCTGGAGCACAGCTGTGATGAGGAACAACTGAGGGAGCTGGGGATGTTCAGTTTGGAGAAGAGAAGGCTCAGGGAAGACGTTACTTCTCTGCAGTTACCTAAAAGGAAGTTATAGTGAGGGGTCAGCCTCTTATCCCAGACTCTTCTTGCGCTGGCTTTGAGCATGTGGAAGACAGGCAGACCTCTAGTTTGCTGTGTAAATGTGCTAAGGGCATATCAAACTCCATGTGAGGAAAGCATTTCTTTTTGTGACTTTCAGGTAAGTACTTAGCCGGTAGCTCCTGGGTACAGCAGGCCCACAAAAAAGCATTTAGAGACCAGGAGTGAATGAAGAACAGCTGCATCTCCAGGAGTAACCCCACCATTCTCAGCTTGCCTCTGGCACTGCAGAGTTTGAGTGTCCCATGCCCTTGTGCTGTAGATGTAGGATAATGGAGAAGGAGGAAGGGACAAATCCACAGACCTGCAGCCAGCGCATTGCCTGCAAAGTTTAGTAGCACAAGTGCACAGCTGTGATTAACAAGGCTCCTGATTTCCAGCTAATGTTTTAATTCCACAGCATATAGGTGTGTTACCTAACCTCCATCTGTCTTGCTGTGAATAAATGATATCTCCAGTGTTTCTTATTGGCAGGATTATAGCATGTCTTTGGATAATGTTCTTAGGAATAAGCACAAAAAAATTGCCGGCTCAGTTCCCACAGAGATATGAGCCTAACTTGGAACATATCACTTGTTCTACCTGCTCCTGTATTTTCCAAGTACTGAACAACAACTTATTTCCTCAACACCACTTGAAATCCTTTCAATATTCTTACTCATTAATTGCAAAAGGAAAAATTAAGGTAGAATTAAATTTTTGCACTTTGCAGTAGACATCTGAGGGAAGGAGGGAAGCAAACTAGTTCAGAAAAAGCAGGTCATAACCCTTAAACCCCCCCCCAATGTTTACATGCCTTAGTAGCTGAATGACATTGCTAGTAGGCATAAGTATATGTTGGTGATTTTGATGCCAGGCTGGTGGAAAGAACCAAGACTTTTTTAACCCTCTAAAGTTCTTTCAGGTCATGAACTCTGTCAGCAGCAGCTACCACAAATTGGCATTTCCTGAAGGAAGAATGAATACACAGCATTTTCTCAAAGCTGCAATACGTTTCACTTATAATATAGTTAAACTTCACCAGAAATAAGTGTCACCCTCTAGCCTTAAGAATTCATTCCTCTTTTTTTTCAGACGAGGTGTTATTTGGACTTTTTTTACTTACTCAAAGTAAGTTTTACTTCTTTATCCTTAAACAATTTCTATTCTTTGTCAGGAATGTGGAAATACATATTTCCTCTAAGGAACAGGGATGATTCAAGATTCTGACAGGTAAAATATTGTGGAAAAATAAAGCAATGGATGTTGGGTTCTGAGCATGCTGGTCCACGGACATGAAGATAATCTCCATCATGTAACTTCATACCCTTTAATTACTTATTTCTGGCCAATTTTCGGCAGAAACTGTCAATCAATCCACATATCCACTGGGGGGGGAGGGTGGGGTTAGAAAAAGAGGAAAGTTGAACTGGAGAAAAAACAAAGATGTGAGGTTTTATATCCAATTACATACAACATTTGTGAACTCAAGATACTGAAAACTAACTTTCAGAAATGGGAATGGGAAAAAGGCTGAACCTGTCCTTCCATATCTATCAACACGTACAAAACATGCCCTTAATAACTTTTTATTATTTTTTAACTAGTTGTTTTACTAGTGGTTAAGCAGGTGTGGCCCAGGACAAAGCGAAACACTGAAAGTTGTTGGCCTCGGCAAACAGCAGTTTTGTGTTAACAATGACAAGATTAGCAGCAAGAGAATCGGAGGTGGAGACTTTTGAAAGCTTGTCAGATTTTTGTTTCACGTAAGCAAAGCAATGTGTGGGTGGTAAAAATCCAACCCTTGCTACAGGCAAACTTGGGAAATTCAACTCTAGAGTTAGAGATCAGTTACCTGCACAGTTTTTGTCATCTGTTTTATTGTAATTGACTAAACAAGAATTTGAGGCAGATAATGTTTGTGGATAAAGAATTTATTAGTGGCTTTAATCAACAAGGAGGAAATACCAAGGTCTCACAAACTAACTTACATTGACCATCTGAAAGTCTATCAGCTCTTTTACAGCTAACCTCCCCTGGTTTTGTCATAAGATTAGGACGGTCATGACATCACTGATATGCATGGCATCACCAGTGGTTGTTTCATCAAGCAGAAGAAATACTACCATTAGACTAGTGTGTTTTAATTAATTGTTGTAATTCAGGAAAGGAGTGCTAGACGTGTTTACTGACGTTATAGTCAACAGGCATACTGACGGTCTTCTGATTGTTTCCAAAACTGTTATGTAACCCATGGGACTGAGATAATCATAAACATAACAAGATCTCTTTAATATCAGAGCTTGATAATTTGTTTGAAACTGGAGGTAAGGATTTTTATTTATTCTGAAATTAATAATCTAACTTGAGTTCGTTTTAGCCAAGCTCTTGCGTTTCTCTAGAACTTTGGTAGTGGTTTTAAAAGAACTGATCTTTGATATCATTAGTTCAGTCATAAATGCTGCCAGTTCCTGAGAGCACTTTTAAGTTCCTACTCTTCAGTAATTTCTTGGAAGTCAACAGCAGTGCTAGTGTGTCTGAATTTTGGCAAGATTATTCCTGAGACACCTTAATAAGCTCAGATTTTATAAGATACAAGTAACTGTGGTTATGATACACTTCAGCAAGATGGTGTTAAAAAGACATTGTCCCTCAAATCTCTTACACACACAAAAACCCTGAGTAAAAAAAGAATAAGAGTCCCCCCACAAAAATAAAAAATAAAACAACCCCAACCCTAACTGTAGTGTGGCAGCTGCTCTATCCAGAGCTGGAACCCAGCATTTAGTCTTGGTCTCACCACTTTCTACCTAATAGCCAAATAGTTAATTAAATGGGGATGCATCTACAAGTGTACCCACAATGCAACTAAGATAGTCTAGCAGCTAGCTGCCTCCAAAATGGCCAGACGTGACTCTTGTGCCCACTTTGACCATTGGGCTGACTTGTGCAAGTTGTCTTGAAACACTAGGCTGGCAGAAGTTGAGTCCTACAGAAACAATGGGGCACCTGCGGCCTGTAGCTCTCCTGGCATGAGGACAACAATGGCTGGCAGGGCATGGTAGGAGCATCCAGGTGGGGGCAGGCAGGGCACAGGAGCAGTCCTTTGGGTAATACCAGGCCTTCAAGTGGCTTTAGCTCTATCTTTAAACCGCACAAATATCCACAGGGATAATTTTAACTCTGCCTGCCAAGAAATGCAAACCAACTTTTGTTGTTTGCTACTGGACAGATAGAAGCCAACCTTTACTTTTCCTCTGCTGTGGGCTCACCCTCTTTTTTTTAATCTGGCATCCCTGTTTCTTAGCATGCAACACTTGTGCCAGGAGTAAGCATGCTCATCCAGGTCCAGTGTCTAGGAAACAGAACCAGCTTATTTAAATCAGACCCACCATAATGCCCTTCCAAGGACCTGCATATAACAGACATATATGATCTTACACGTGGCTTTTCTGGGTAGGATTTAGCCAGGCCGTTCCATGTTCAATACAGCAAAATGCTAATCAACACATGTAATTAATTGGCGTCTATACATAGGGCCTGAAGCCTTAATTAACATTCCTCTCTGATTAAATTATCACTGATGATTCCAAGTCTCAGGTGAAACTGAGTGTTGGAGGTTTTTACTGCTTGATCTTCCACCCCCCTATCTCCCAGGACTTCAAAGAGAATATGAGGTCCATTTCTTAAATCCAATGGAACTTTGCCATGCCTGTTCTTCCCTGGCCATATCTCCTACAGCAAAAATTCCCTCACTTAGATGTTTTGCCTGCCTCACAGTTCCTTGATGTTGCCAGACCTCTGAGTTAGTTTTATAAAAGGTTTAAAAGTCTAGCCCATTATTTTTCAATGTTAAAAGTTACTGGTTTTATATTTGTGGTGTTTTGCAAAGAGAAGGGAAGACGACTTCTATAGCAACATGTACAAATAATTCCAGTCGTTTAAGTGAACAATGTTTGTTGTAACTTTTGCTACCCTCAAAGTCAATTCTCTGGCCTTAAAAAATCTTTTTATTGTGTCATTGTCATAGTTTGTATTTTCTATTGTATTTTTGTCACTTATCTCCCAAGCAGCTAAATGTCTTAAAAAGTAACTATGTATAAGTCTAGCTAAATCTGCATGTGTAATAACAGGCTATTTCCTCAAAATCAGTATGGGTTTATATAGACAAAATCCCCAAAGCATTCTAAATTATTACAGTAACTCAAATGTTAGTATATTGAACTTTGCTAAAATATGGGTTTTTTTTCAAAAAATGAAGGTAGACATAATCCTACCCAGCCGCCTCATGTGATGAACAAACGTGTCCAAGTACTTGATGAAGTGCTTGGAAAACTACCAGGCTGAGATGATTAATAGTGAGGAAAGAGGTATGCACTTCTAGGTTCTCAGCCAAACTTCCTGCTGCCTAGAAAAGCATGATGACTTGATAGCTGACCTCAAGCTCTAAAGTCTGTGTGATTAATTTTTTTTTGCTGTGTTATCACCTCCTTCAAGGAGACCAACATAGGGTAAAACTGATCATAATGAGTCCCTAACATAAAATTTTCATAGATGCTGTGGTAATGGGAACATCCAGAGGTTTCTCACTTTTATAAGGCCATATACAATACCAAAAAGTCTCATTTCAGCTACACACACTGAAAAGGTTTTCAATACTGAGGTTTTCTTTTCTATAAAATAAAGACAATAGCATATCTTTATCACTTAGATGAAATGAATGTTGAGAAATGTGCTTGGGTACTCATAGAGAAGTTGTTACAAATGCGCAAAGATTTTTGTACAAAAGTGCATGTTGATTTAGATCGTTATTCTAGTAAATTGTGTGTCATATAAAGAAAACTGATTTTGTCTAGGTATCTTCTGCTGATTTGCAACTTGCAAATGTTTCTGATAGTTTAATTCTAGTCTCTGGAACCACGGAAAACAAATGTTTCAAAATCTTGTAAATTTGCATAAGGTGGGGAGACAAATTTCCTTCTATCTTCTCTGCTTATCTCTATCTCCCTGTGAATTGTAATTCACCTTTTAGCTCATCTTTATTCTATATGTATTTCTTTTTCATATTTTCATAGTTCTTTACAGCTATCCAAGCTTAATAAATTTCACCATAACTTGTTACTGCAGCTCTGTCTCAGAAGGAAAATAAGTGTACACACTTAGTAATTAGTAGCTCGCATTAGTGGGGGAAAATAACGACTTATTACAAAATCTGTCTGAAAAACGAGACCATGCTTTCTATTAGAGGCACTATCAGTATAGCTTACAATTGGAAAACAACCTCATGGAGGATTTATTTTTTCAGAAAGTTGGGGAGATTTTTGGTTTGGTTTGGGTTTTTCTGTTTGTTTTGCTTTGGTTTTGGGTGTTGTTTGGTTTCATGGCTTTCTGGGAAAAAAAGGAGAATAAACCCAACAACCAGTAGTATTTGCTATCTTTGAATTCAAGATTCAAGTTTCTAGGAAAGGCAGGAGACTAAATATGTTTTACCCACTAGCCTAAATTGTCCTGAGTTATAACCACAGCCTCCAAGCAAGCATTTGCCTGCAACTTTGGGTGGACCATTTGGTTGATTACCTCCTGATTAGGTGCTAGGACAAGAAATACTTTCTGGCAGGCAGATGTTGCAGAGGGGAGAGGGTATAAAGTAGGTTCCCAAGGTAGGAAGGAAAATATATGAAATAGTTCCTCATAGCCAGGAAATGTTGATGCTGTTTCATGGTCCAAGTTTGGCAAAAGATTGCGGTGTAAGAAGCAGATGGAGGCATGTTCCCTCTTTTTCATCTGTGACCTACCACATGTGAAACAACCAGAAGCTACGGTACTGCCTGTACACAACCAGAAGTACTGCCTTTACCACTACTACCTCTACAGACAAGTCTGGATGCTGCTGCCTCTTTAATACAGACCGATGATGTTTGACACCTGATATGCAAAAAGTGCTGTCTAAAGA